ATATTTTATGTTGATGTGAATATCGAAATATATATATATTAAATATTTTATAGAAATCTGAAGTATTTTTATTTTGGGATAACAACTAGTATATAATGAAATTTGTAATTGGATAATTTTTTGATCCTTGAATTCCGTGTTCTGTGCACGTGCTTTGATACTTGATACCAGAAGGGCTCACAAATGCATTAAAATTGGCAAAGAACATTTTGGAAAAATTCAAGAGCTCAATGAATGCATTTACGATAAAAAAAATAGTTCATGTTATACTCTTTTATGCTGACCGAAGCTTGTAAAATATATTAGTAGACGTAGAAAAGCATTCAGCAAAAATCTGACAGTCAAAAAATCGCGCACTGAATCGAAGGAAAATGTATGATCAGAGGTTTTTTTGATCGAATGATTGACTAAAGTGCAAAACAGTATTTTTGTTACTTTTTTATTCTCAAAAAGAGGGAAAACATATGGGGGGGGGGAACAGCAGCATTTCATTCCCAATGAATACTTTTCATTGTACAGTACCGCTCTTTAACTTTGATGAATAGTCATGAGCCAAATTTCAGTTTCATCTCCGCAAAATGTTCACTGAATCCAAGACTGCAATTTTTAGCGTTCAATATTTTCAAAATTTTCTTCTGCGTAATGAAGAAGTCTGAAGAAGTTTTTTGGACGTATAATCAGAATTTTAAAACAACATATTATTCATAGTTCAATATTCTTTCCATGTAATACAGTATAATTAAATGGGTATTATAGAATAGAATTGCCAGAAAACAAGCTTCCACTCTTCAAGCAAAGAATGAGCAGGGTTTGAAATACAGTAATACGCGGCACAATAATATCCCTCGCCAAATATCGCATCATCATTCTTGTGGATTAAAAAAAAAAACGCGGAACCTATCACCTATTTCTTCCAGGGAAATAAATTAACAAACGTCCAGCAAGAAGGAATACAAAATAAATAAAATCACCCATAGGAAAGAATGACAGAACGAGATACAGCGATGAATCTTATAGCATATTCACTCTGCATCTATGATTTCGGCTTCGTCGCGTGATTGTGGCAAGCGGGATTATTTTCTGAGTGTTTTCTTGCCCGGTGTGGGCGGCACTCGGAGAGTCGGGCGCATGAGTCGACCTTGCCACGGACCAGCATGCACCAACATGCGGCACGCGGGCAAGTACGAACACGCAGCTTCATCGCCAGTGCAGTGCTAACACACATACTGTATACGTGCACTGGCAGCGATCGAAACAGGGACAGCATAAGCATGGCCTCTTTCTATTCACCGGCGTTTCTACGCAGTTGTGACTGCCGCCGCCTGCTGAAAGGTCGGCAATCCGTCAATCCATGCCGGAGATTTCTTTTTCGTGCTACCTGTATTATTCACACCGTACGTGACACTCAGTTGTATTGCCGTATCACACAGTGAAAGCTATAGATGAATCCGGGAATTTATTTGCTATATGCGAGCGAAATGATCATTATACTTTAAATACCGGTTGTTCCCGTGAATTCGGCTGCATTTCAGAAAGTGTGCTCATCAAGGAGTACTGAACCATCAGCAGCGCGCACGTAAATATAGGAACGATCCCTTTGGAAAGCATAAATTTCACGGATGTGATTTAAACGTTGTTTTTCTGTCGCATTCTGATTCGATCTATGGTTTTCCTGACGTAACACCAACCAGAATGAATTATATTAGATTTATGCGCAGGTCAAGTTCGTGTTCATCTCGTTTTACTACGTATTTTGAGCACGAGAATCAATTTTCAGTGATGCAGCAGCAACGCTACAGTTATTATATTAGCGTTGCCCCGGTTATTTTTGCTCAAACATTGGCCACAAGTCCACATAATTAGAAAGTAAAAGCGAAGATTCATCCAAGTGATCACGATGACAGTTCTTGAATTTGCGGACATTTTCTTCAATGCAGGCTAAATCACTACATAAGGAAGACCAGTGCGGGTAGAAAGTTTTCGGAAATATCGATCAAAATGTCTAACTCCGGAAACTGCCAAAATACCACCGAAGGTACGTTTAAAGGCGAAGAAACAAAATGGCATGAATTTCATACGTTGATCGACCTTTTATACTTTCAGTACCTCGAGAAGATCCGACAAAAGAAGGTACAGTTCGTGTCGGAGATCAAGGTATTTGCAAATTCTACACCATGGGCAAGTGCCGTTTTGGAGAAAGATGTCACAATTTACATGAAGGACCCACGACCGCAAATACTGAGAACAGTCCTACTAACGGAAATTCAAAACAAGATGACGCAACAAGTTCCACGGACTGTCGAGTCAAGTAAGATTAAATTTGTTGGGAAAATTACGTGTGACATAGAGCGGAATCATGCAATTTATAACTTTTAGGCAAACAGAAATTCCTGATCATAAAACGGAATGTTCGGGAACAAAAGCAGGCATGCGAACGGCAATCGACGTCATATCTCGCATCCGCTGGGACCCAATTTTCGAGGAACGCATTGGAATGGTGACAGTAGGGTATAAGGATAGATTTTTCGGCACATTAGAAAGGTCTTTCGGAATGTTTAATTGGGACGAAGAGCTGAGTGCAGTTGACGACGACGATTTCGCAATTCCGCAGCACAGGATACTCAATTTCAAGTACAGAGACGAAATCATCTGGGACAAAAATTCTAGGTAACTGAATGATCCATCGAGACTTGAAAATTACCGTATTAAGCGCATTCCCGGAGAGTATTTCCGATTTAAAATCATGGAATAAATAATTTACGAAGTGAATATAATAATCACGTTCAAATTTAATTTCTTATTTTCATTATTGTCATGTATTATGTATGCTCTTCAAAAGATTTTTTTCTTCGCTGCAGAACGGATTCGGTATTCTTCAGCACCAACGGCTCATCAAAAAGCACTCTAGAAGAGGTTTTGCATGAAATCGATCTGCAGAAAGATTTGCAACTAGAGAAACTTCATGAGATGGGAGGATTTGGTTATTCCAAAGAAATCGACGAGTGGGATGAGGACGATGGCCCTGGACCAGCAATTGTGACTGGAACAGGTTTTGGTCAAGACATTAGAGAAAAGCTCATGGAACAACAATTGGAAGATCGGTCAACTCATTTCATTGCCCTGCGAATAACAGAGCAGGTAAGATCTCGATTTCTGGATCAGAAAGCAGCAGAGATATCTGAAAACATTGTACAGTTCAACGTCTCTAAGCCAAATTTCAAGGAACCAGCAAAAAAAAGTAGACTCAAGAAGGTTTCCACTTTGGAAGGTTTTGATTCATGGGGGTTTGAATCGTGGGAAGCAAGCTATTTTGTTGTGGGGGAAAATAGAAGAATTGCAGGAAATGGTTAATGGTGATCTTCTGGACCTTCAATTGCCCAAAACGCATTACAATTTACTTTTTATTGCTTTTCTCTTTTACTACTTCTCTGTGCCGAAAAAAAACAGCCAAAATGCATAAAAAAATTGAGCTATGGAGGTTTGTGAGGAAAAGCCCAAAGTTAGAAAGGTTTTTAATGCATTTTTTGTAAGGGAATTCTGATGGGGACTTGCAAAATTCAGCTTACAGGGAAGTTCGAGTTATCCAGGTACGGTGAACTGTATATATTTTATTTATTTATTTCAGGATATTGTTGAAAAGGCTATGATGGTGCAGCAAAACGCTTTACGAATGGAACCTATTCTGGAAGAATGTTGCATGAAGGAAAAGCTGTTCCACATAACTTTCTGCATGTTACGGCTGGAGGGCTACAATGCTATCACAAAAGCCTGTCAGATACTAGTCAGTATTGAACAGGAGGTGCAAGATATACTGAAAAATGATCCCGAACCTGTGGTACTGTCAGGTTTGAAAACTTTCGGAAACCGAGTTTTGTATGCCGGAGTTAGGTTGAATCCAAACTTTCGAAAAATCGAGGAATTACTTCGAGAAAAGTTCTCTCGTCCTGCAGAAGGTATAAAAATAACTAATCATTTCGAGTTCGTTCCTCATATGACGATTATGAAAGTTTCCAGACCCGTGGCCCGCGAGCGAAGAACAAAATATTTAGATCCAGCACTATATATTAAATTTGTCGACGCGGAATTTGGAAAGCAGAAAATTGATAATTTAAATTTGTGTGTGATCGATGAAACTACGCGTGACGACGGCTTCTACACCACTGTATCTGATCTGAAACTCGCGTGAAATGCATATAATTACTGTATAGTATTGTATCTTACAATGGTTCCATGCCTGAATCTAACTAAATTCCAAAAAATTAAAAAATTCACCCAGGGATCGAGACAAGGACTCACTTCAGGGACGACGAAAACTGAATCTTCCGAACTTCCCGAAGACACAATATTTCACTGCGAAAAGCGATCACAGTCACCATCATATCAGCGATGGATGGATCAATTTTAAAACTTGCAATCTTATTTAAAAACTGTTATTCAACAATCCGTTTGACACATAATAATGTCCGTAAAAGAAACAAAAGCATGTGAAATTACCGAAAAAAATCGAGGAACATTTTTCACACCGAACACTTCTGACATGCATCATTCATCACCAACTTTTTTTTTTTTCAAAGATACTCAATCCAATAAAATCCATATAACAAAGAAATATCTGGTAATTTTTCTCTACGAACTAGAAACAATTGAATAATATACGCGATGCAGTTTTTAAAGTCTAACTCTAACACATATTTCTTGAACGCGCTTTGTAAGTGTTCATGATGATGGCAACATCCATCCGAATCATCCTTTTCAACGTGAGATCATTATTGACGGGCAAAAATATATTATTCCGGCCGGGACATGCTATTTTCTAATCAAGTCCTCGTCTTTTAGAAAAATCATGTCCGGCCTCGCGTGAAAACAGACACGCAGAAATGGTACGAATATAGCTGCATATGGTTTGCTATACTGTATTGGCATCCAAAAACAAATATCGAATGTACTTGGCAAAAAAATTTAAAATTAGGGGAAACAGAGCTTCAAATAAGCTTTTCAAAAATACAGTATTCACCGGCGCTGGGATGATAAAAATCCACACAATATGCAAAAAACACCGCGTCAAAGTGATCAGTTGCGATTCAAGCGGCGTTGTGCTGTTTGTCGCGACATCTATGAGACATATTGTTATTTACTGTCATGAAGATATTCTTAATGTGTCGGACGTGTCACCAGGAATAAATCATCCTCGTCAATCGAAGTGGTATTTTGTTTCATATAAATACCGAAGCAATAATAATAATATGGAGAAGTCCAAAATATTTTCAAATGGGGAGAAAAGATTCCAATTTTCAACAAATGTCACTTGAACATTTTTACCAGCTGACTATGATGCGCACCATGCCCTTTGCTCCAATTTTCTCTAACAATTTTTTCGCTTTTAAAAAATTGCATTTTGAAGATCATTCCAACATTTTCTGCCAAGTGACTCAAGAAAGCACTCATTTTTGTGCCTTAATTTTTTTCTTCCAAAAATGTGCTTGCATCGGGATTGTATGGTAAATTTTCAAAGAGAAACTCCAAATTCGAATTCAGTTTTCCTATAATTTCGCGCCTCCCTATATGTGGCGTGCTTAAAACTCAAATCGAGGCTTTCTGCGGAGTTCCCCATTTCCTTATAATTTCCAGTTCATAAAAAAACGATTCGTCCCCGTGCATGGCAATATCCTCGTGCTGAACTCCTTGCCACCCGCGGTTATTGCGAATGCGCTATTTGCCATGCCTCGGGACCGGCTTGTAAATAAGCGATGAGCACCGCTTCATAGCTGCCCGGAAGCAGCATCAGTGCTGGCGCTGTGGTATGCATAAGGGGGAAATGTGCGTTTACATTGGTCCGGAAGGAACCATGCAGACGTGTGTAAGTGCTGTACAGTACAATAGAGTACTGTACTATACTGCGCTGTGCTGCACTGCTCGCCAAACACCACAGCCTACATCATGGTGAATGACTCACAAGTACAGGACACGAGGCGACGATGACGACGACTATGGAGCGCTCATCCTGAACAGCTCGTGAGAATAAAGTGCTCCATGAACGCCGTTATTGGCTTTTTTGTTGAGTATTCGTCACTGCCACTTCAGGTGAAGAAACAGGTGTGTAATTTTAGAAGACAAATCATACTGAGATGCAAAAATAACCGGATGTGCTGGAGTTTACGATGAGGAAGAGAAGCATTTTCGTCCCGGCGATCGATTCCTTCTTACTGCGCGGTGAACCGAAGCATTTAGGATATGGTCTTACTTGAATTGGAAACTGCTCGAGATCTGGATTTTGGAATTCTCAGCGACTGACACACCACATCAATTCCAATTTATATTTTGTAAACACATTTGGAATTTTCCGAGGTGCAACTCTTTATTAAATTTTTACATATGTTAAAGTAAGGCAGCCACAATAATTAGGCGATCGGACGAAAGGTGAAGCGACTCAATTTGAAATTATGAATCGCGATGGTCTCTTTGTTTCTTCTCGGGAAATTGAAATTTGGGACTGTTGGTTATGATCGAATGCCTGATTCACTATAGAGACCGGAAAGTTAAGTTATACTTTATGATTTATATTATCGAACAGTCTATCGTAAATGCACTGCGATCCAGAAAAGGGTTTTGCGCTTGTATATTTTTCGGCAAAAAAGAAGATATAACTTACGGCAGTTCAAAATTTAGGCCCCCCTCATATACAATATTAGCTGGGTGAAGGATGCAAATTGACACAGTTATTTCAGCAGCGATCAATGATTTCGGAATATTTGGAATATTTCTTTCTATTGAAAAGATTTTTTATGCTACAGTATTCCATAGCCGACAAGCTTTTTCAAAGATTGTCTCGTCGATCTGTACGCAAGTGTAATGTTCGCTTGTCCATTTTTGTAAATTGTTGCGTCGATTTCTTCTCTGGATATTGAGCAAATCGAGAGAAGTCTCTTCCAAGAGCACCAAATTTATCATCTATGTTCTAATATAATTATGAGTAATTTCGCTTCTGAGCGAGTACTGTAACCTACTGCATCTCCGTCGCCAAGTTTCCATATCAAGATCGAGCAGCTAGGTGTCTTTGCTGTATGCCCTGTCTAGTTGAATCAATGTCAAGAAAGCTGCAATCGCTGCTGTAGTGACTCTGGAAAGTCCCCTGAGCAACGCTCAAAAAGTATATATGCAGTACAGTGATACCCCGAGTCGTCCCGCGAATCAAATTTGGCTGGGGCCAATATTCTGTCTTTACTCTATACGGCCCACTTCATTAGTGGAGACCTTTATTTTGAGACACAGGGTTGTGAGTGAAGGGTGGGATTTGTCTCGTCTGTATGGGTACCATTTTTACTCTTCTCAGGTGGGGGGGTTTACGTGGGCGGGTTCAGATGAGAAGAGGCAAATGAAAATGGATCGGTCGTTACCCGGGCCTTCTGCACTGCTGCGGAATTGCCGCATGATGGAGGAGCTTCTCCTGGCGATTGCCTCGCCACGACTTTTTTCCTTCCTTTCTTCGACTATGTGCAGGGCATCTCTTCCGACCCTGGCCCCACTCACGGGATTTTTCCCGTGCTTTCTGCATCAGAAGGGTTCCATGAAAAGTCCGATCATTATGAAAATCCAATACCGAATGCGAGATAACCAAGAAGTAATGTCGTTACTTCTGACTCTGAGTTGTGCCGTGCGCCTTTTGAACGCAATCCAGTACAGGTACTCTAGTTTCGTTGATGATGTGGTAAGATAACGTTTCTTGCGCATTGAAAAAAATAAAGATAACAACGAAGAAAATTCCCGGTTTTGGACAACTTTTCGAATTGATCTCGGCAACATTTTGCGTTTATCATTCATAAGCCAGAATTGCTGCAAGGCTTTTTACGAATAAAGTTTGAATAATTTTTTGCGTCTGTGAAAGTAATCTAACCTGAGTTGTCAAGGTATAATGCTATTAAAGCATCGGATCACTGTTTACAAAATTTTTATAGTCGAATTTCTGGCGAAAGCGAAAGAACTGCGTTTTTTCGCCCAATAAAAAAGAAAGTTTGCGTGAGGTTCTTCCGCTTGATCATGGCCTATCAAATTTTGCCGCTGATTTTGAAGACCACAGCGGTTCATCAGTGAAAAAATCACCTTAAAAAAAGGATTTCCATAAATTATGCCCATAAAATTAATATTCTTGTCAGAAATCATAGCAACGTCCACCTGAGAAATCTGAAAAAAAAAATCTGAAGTCTCAAGTCAGTAGGATACTCCAAATTAACGTTAATCATCTGATCGAATCGATAATATATTTGTGCGAAACCTATCGCGGGTGTAGTTCAAAACATCTCGAACTATTCTCAAGGTCCCGGAAGTCAAACCGACCTCTTCGGAAAGCAATTTCTGATTCATAAACAACGTTAACCTAAGAATAGGGTTCGTTGCCATGAAGGTTTGTTTTGTAGAGCTTAGTGTGTAATGTCAATCTCAGGTTATTTGAAATAATTTTTGCGGAAAAGCAAGACATCTGAAAAAACAAACACATATTTTCAACCTTTGCTGCTGCTCTCTCTTCGAACCCCGGAAGTCGAAGGTTCAGCGCATGAATTAAAAAATTCCTAATTTGTAAGAGGGCGCAAAAATCTCAAGAAACTGACGGACCACCATATAGAAGATGGTTACATTTTCCATGAAAAAACTTGGAAACTCAAAAGTCTTTCAACCTTGATCCTCATGATCTTCGGTAGTCCAAAATATTCAATCAACGAATGCCTTCAGCTACAATAGAAAGACCAATCTTAATATCCTTCTTAACGGTTTTTTTTAAATATTGTATCCTAAATCATCAAAAACAACAAACTAAAATCCAGGATGAAACAAATATTTATGCTTACGTGAAGTGACATTTTCTTAATCTCAAAGAGAGGCTAAGTTTTCCATGTCATTCTCTTGAATATTCCTCTGAAACGTTCATAATAAGTATAGTACAGTAGTTCGCTTCTTATAAAAATTAGCATATTCCCTCTTTATTTTTTCAGCTTACTGGTGTGTATAATTTTGATCTTTCGTGCAAAGAATTTCACAATGAAAAGCACGTCGTTCGAAGATAAAACATTACATTTCCAGATAAAAAACGAGATCGGTATCATAGCTTTTCTTCGATCATCAGTAGAACTTTCACGCCGGTGATCAAAGGAACAGTCAACAATTGAGATCGTCTTTTCATCTCACTCTTTTAATCTAGTGTTAATCTGAGCCATCGGTAATATTCCCGGAGTTTTTCACTCAAAAAAATTACCCAGGATCCAAAGAGAGATATCCTTTTTTCTATTTTTAGTGAATCCGCTGCGGAATTGGATCCATACCTTGGATTAAAATGTAGAGACGGCTAGATTTCACTGCGAGATCTGGGACGTTCTTCAGAGGAAAGAATGACCCAAGTTTGAGAGAACATATCTATACATACATAAAAAATATATATATACTGCATTTCCAGATATAAATAGCAAGCCGAACTAGGGGACGAACCCCGGGATATTCCTTATCGTCCTCCGGCCTCCGCGGGGGCAAACAAATGTCTTGGTTTACTCCCTTGATTGAATCCTCCGCAGAAGACGCGAGGAACGAATGGGTCTGCCTCGCGTTGTTCCTCAGCTTGCTGAAATCGGATGAAATGGGCGAATTTTGGCTGGATGCTACTGAGGATATATAAATTCATTCACCGCTATACATTTATGATACTTGCCCACGAAAGAATCATAAATATATACCAGCGTCATTCAATATTTCCCCATCACTGATCAAAAAGCGAGGCATGGTCGGAATGACGTGCAACGAACACGTAATGAAGATTCTCACATTAATATTGGTCTCCATCCTTCAAGAAACGCGTTTGAATAATTCAAACAAACGTGTCGTCTTATCCGAAATGGTCATTTCGGTGGTACACTCCTGAGTTCCGTTGAACTGCGGCGCTTCAATTTAATTCTTAATTTGAAAAAAAAAAAACAGAGAAAATGAAGAAATATTCATCAGCAAAAATGGCATCCACCCCACACAAATTGGGCAGCACAAAAGCACAAAACTAAGGAAGACATCACGAATGAATTATGCACTTCATGATGCCTCCTCAGCATTGTTAGAAACCCCATGACCTCAATTTCACGGAAGAAAATTCAGATTAATTTCGTTTAAAACGCTTTGAAATTTTTATTTTGTATGAGAGAAGTATAGTGGTTCTCGTGTCATTCTTGAGAGGTCTTGCCAAGTAGTTTTATTTTACAGCACAATATTTGAAAACAATGTAACGCTGCCTGCAAACAGCGACCATTAAAAAAAAATGTCCGGGGTAATCGAAAACAAATTAAATCTTTTAATATTACGTATATATGCCTCTATTTGCCTATTAGGTAGCTGCCAGCACTTGCATGTATTGACACTTTCGGATACTCTAGGGATAAATCTTGCAAGCATGATTGATCTCGAAGGACCGAGAGAACGGCAGTTTTTACATCGCCGTGAATGAAAACAAAATTTCCTGTCCGGTTAACCCAGCTGTAGCTCTTCCTTCTCCCCCTGGATTTTCCGCATTTCGATACTCATGCCCTGCTTGAATGAACTCCTGCATGTAATATCGCAGAAGCATTTTCTTCTTTTCATGGAAAAAGATGACGGGATTATGGAGTGAACTTGTGGAGTGATCCAGTAGTCAACACGAGTCACGTAGAAGGAATAAAGAGAAGACGAAATACGGCCGCGCGTCGTGTATGCATATAAGCATGCACTTCGCAGGAATTACGGGCGGC